GTGTGTGTGTGTGTGTGTGTGTGTGTGTGTGTGTGTGTGTGTGTGTGTGTGTGTGTGTAAGCCTGCACCGTCATTAGTATTATGTCGTGATTAAGATGGGATTAACACTGATGCAATTTTGCTGCGTCACTGTTCCTTCAGAGTTAAGCCTACTGACGTTTTTACTGAAACTGAAACATCATCAGTGTCTGTGCACATCGCTGCTCTTTTTCCACACCTGTGCATCATATAATGTACAGAAATTTTTCCCCACACTAGCCTCTCACTGCAGAAATTAACAGATTACCTAAAAAATACCCAATATATGATAACTTTAATATAAAATAAAATTAATAAGGTGAAAGGTGAAATCAAGTTTTTTGTTAAAGCATAAAGATCTTTTGTATCCTACTGGTTTCTTTAATTAATTGATGTGTTTCACATGCATTTTTCCTTATGGCGATAAATATTATTTGAAAGTATATAACTGGATGTAATTCAACATTTCTGATGGTTTAATGCCACTTTGAGGAAGTTGGAATTGCTTATTTTGTCGGTTAGCAAGCAATTATTTAGCTTAGCTATAGCTAAAAGGAAATACTTTTTAGGCTTTTCCCAGTCAGTGCCATCATCTACATTGCTCATACACTGTAAAATATCTAGATCTAATATCTAGATTCCAGAATATTGTGTGTACGTTTTCATGTTTACATATCAAACAGGAGCCTGAAATGTGTAATGAGCTCACATGTTTCAGGACAGGGAGGCCCCCTACAGAGAGGGTGGACAGCCCCATTCACACTCTAATGCTTGGGAGGGGGAGACATGGCAGCTTCCCTTTTGCATCTCTGTTCCCATGCATGACCCCTCTTGTCTTCCTCTGCTTTAATTAATTCACATTAAAATGAAGCTGTGGGTGAGAAGAAAAAAAAGGCAAGAAAAAAAAAAGGAGCCTGGTTTGCTTCCTTCTTCTATGTGTCACATGATAATGATGTATGGCTCTGTCCCACTGTCTTAAAAAGATATCACTGCATATGACAAATACATCAGGGTGAGAGCTGGGCTGATCAATCAGCATTTAATCAATACGAATCTGAGACTGATGAGCCTCCCATGCAAATGTACCCATATGTATTTGCAGTGTAAGCGTGCTCAGTTTGCATTATTTGACACAAGCAGGGTATGACTCAGCTCACATCATGTCTAAGGAAATCCATCAATAGATTCAGGCTGTGACCATTTACTCAAAGCATTTTACGTTAAAAACACCCAAACTCTATTAGTCTTTCTTTCCATAATGTTAAATCATGAAATAAACTTAAACACAACCAGGGCAACTCTTATCTGGCGTCAATTACACTAACATCGACAATCAGGCTAAGTGATCACATGCAGGTTTAAAAAAAGAAACTTCAAATCACACATTTCTTAATGTCTAAGAAGTGAATGAAGTCCACAGACTGTGGGCTTAAAGTCTGGGCAACACAGGAGGAAAATAAGCGATGAAGTCATGTGTAATACACAGGGCTCCTTTTTACCAAAACCACTTGGAAATGTTGCTGTAGATGTTTA